TTACACATTGATCCTAATTGAATGTATGATATGTTTTCTATATAAACAAGATTGTGACTCAAAGTAAGGAGCCACGCAACCGCAAAAACCAAATGTCGTGGTTAGAGTCCGATTGGATTACTTACTATGTTCTTATCGATTGTTATAAGATGGATTGAATTACTTGCTATGAATGTATTGGATTATTCTGAAATTATTGGAATGGAATGGGCGTTGTGTCAAGGAAATCCGATGATGCCATGTAGCGAGGTTGTTCACCCGTTGAGATTAAGCCATATGGTGGCTCTAGGATTCAACAATGGTTCGTAGTGGCGAGGATGAATGTACTTGTGCCTTCGTAGGAGTTGAGATTGATTGACTATTTGTTAAGATTGCATTTGATTATCATGATGTGATGAGCGTTGGAAAAATGACTCCGATGATGCCGCGGAGCGAGGTTGTCGACCCGTTGAGATAAAGCCATATGGCGGCTCCGGGATTCAACAACGGTCGTAGTGGTGAGGATATAATTATGAATGTACTTGTACCTTGTTAAGGACAAGTGTCCGACCATGGCGTCGTGACTTGGGGCAAGGCCTATCAAGGAACACCTGCTACTATACAGCGAGGTCGTCTGGCCGTAAGAGGCTTGGTCGGGTGACCGTCCAGGATATTCAGCGACGGATCATAGTGGTAGGAGTGTGAATCCTTATTGAATGATAGAGCAAAAATCGGGTCCCATAAGAAGCATTCCTTTTGGAACAGACATCCTTTAGGAGATGTCTTAAGATGAGCCGATTATATAAAAGAATGATTAAGAGTTCGGATTTTGCTAACTTCGACTAGAGAGCATATGCATTATGAATAACGAAGTAGTGGAGAGGAAACATTACAGGATGATGTATGAGCACTGAGATGCAAGGAGGGCGACTTTGCTTGACGGTGGTTCGTCAACAAAGCCTTGAGGGAGAGTCTAGGTGAGACGAGTCCCTTGTATTCCTAGTAGAGGATATTATGTTGGATCGGACAGTTCTCACAGCACAAACTAGACAATCTCTGACGACCCCTCGATTTGCAATCATGATCGATGAGAGGGATGCCCAGAAAGCGTTGCTACGACACCGTCCTGTTATGGGCAGTTCCTTTGGAACAGATCGATCATTCATCCTTGTGAGGATGTTATTTTATTTTGGTGCGTACAATCGGCTTGGTATGGGACCTGTACTCTCGGTTGTTTCCAAATAGGCTATTTGGGTGGATAATGGTGTAAGGTGGATGAAATGACATAGCATTCATACATTGCATTGCACGAACGTTTATTTTTATACTTGAGATATAATCATTATTCCTCTTTAGTATTATGCATGTTTTGGGGGTGTTGTGCAGTATAGCATTTTGATATGTTAGTTGGGCGATGTGTATGTTCCGCCATGAATAGATATTTTGTATAAATACTAACTGTTTAATGATGAAGTAAATTCCAGGGAAGTATTGTATCATTCCAGTTACCGTTAGGTAACGGTTAGTGATTTTCGCTTACTCAAGGTGATGTCCCGAAAAGGAAACATTTTAAAAAGGAAACAATATTTTTACATCACCAATTCAAAAAAAAATTTACCCATTTTTTCGCATTAAAATTTAGGTGTATTTTTCGGGGCGTTACAGTTTCTATTTACTGTGACAATAAATCTTCCATATATCTTGCACATAATCCAACTTTTCATGAACGGAGAAAACACATTGAAATAGATTGTCATGTGGTTCGATAGAAGATCAAGTTGGGTCTCATACATCTATTGTCAGTTTCTTCCGCTGCTCAATTGACTGATGGTTTCACAAAACCTCTAGCCACCACTTCCCATCAGAATATTATGTCCAAGTTGGGCCTTTCCAATATACATAGTCCCACTTGATGGGGGGCATATCAGAATAGTTAATGTATGAGTTGGAAATTAGCTGAAATATGGGGAGCTTTAATGATAGCTATGATTATGTTTTAATAGCTAATTTATTGATAGTTATGATTCTACCTTAATTATGATTCTACCTTAATAGCTAATTGATATCTACGATTCTGTTTTAATATAGATGATTCTCTGTAACTATTTATTTGAGCTTGACTCACTTATGATAATGTAGAAAATCAAATACAATTTCTATCCATTATTTTCTTCTCTGGTTTCTTAGAGGTTGATTCTCTCCATTTTCTAATTGTGGTTCTCCTAATTTTGCAAACTTTTTATTTTCGTGGTAATGGGAAATAATCTTCACGAAATGTAACAGGTAAAAGAAATCTTATATTGGAATATATGAATAAGTTGAAGAAAGTAAAATTGGATAAACTGATATACATATTTGCTTAAGGTTTTGGGTCAATATGATGATATATTGACTTATATATTTTTCTTATTACACTTTTTACAAATATCAAGTAACTTTGGGCTTCCTCAATTCTAAAAATTAGTATTAGATGGAAAGATTCACTTGCAAACCAAGCTCTTCTTGATACTATAAAAACTGAAAAGGTTTATATTGGGAGTGGCCTTATATTAAATAACTTATATTTTACAAGGAAATTATGAGGAATTATAAGTGAGAAATCGTTTAACAACCAATAGGATATCTTCTACTATTAAATCTCTTTAAAATAAATAAATAATTTTTTAATTAATTATTTTTTGCGTATTTGATAATGAGAGTATTTCTCCTCTCTTATTTTGCTTTATATTTCTAATGGAGAAACTAAAGTTATTAGTATTGTATATGCTATTTATTTTCTCTTTTGCTATTAATTCTCAATCGACCAATTGAAATAATTTCTTTCATTTAATCATCCCCCAATTTTTAACTCAGAATTAGTTAGTCTTGATATCCTTATTGCACCTATAGGTATGTGTGAGTAAGATAAACTCTTGTTAGACACAAAAAAAAAAATTGTTTTGATAATTAAACTTTTGAATTAAATCAATTTAAGGTATAATAAAGCAAACGAGTGTTAATATTTTCTCGACCTATCGACTCTCGAGTTTAAAATTCAGATTTAACGACCATACTTTCCTAAATTGAGTAGAAAATATAGTTTTTTATATTTTAAACTGTAAAAATATAGTAGCAACTCTAAATCATTTAGGAGAGGTCAGAAATGAGTTTTACTTCTTTCTAAGTCATATAAGTGGTGTTCAACAGAAAATCGGGTCACGGAATACATTCACACAAATAAAGGGTGGTTAAATTATCCATGAATCCATTATCCATCTAAATTCATGATAAATTAAGCTCATCCAATCCTTCCACTTGGTTAATTAACTTGATAAGATGAAACAAATTAAATAACTTAAATACATGAATATGATGATACTAAATACTTAAATATTCACTTATACAAACCATTTGGATCAATGTTCAATTCGTCCAAGGACACAATAAACCATCATTAGACACACAAAAAATTTCTTGTAGTGAATGGAAGATACTCTAGTTTAGACCCAAAAAAAACATCATTCCATTTGTTTTATTTCAAAGGGTTTGAACACATCTTAACTTCCCAAAATATTAATAGACATTGGTCTATCATTGCTCTAACATGTTTCTCTTTTGACTTCTTGATGAAGTCTTTGGAGTTTTTCTCAAGTTTGAAGATGGAATATAAATTTAACAATTCCAAATAGAACTTGCTACATACCAAAAATTTTGCACATATATTAAGCTTTTGAATGTGTGCAATATTTCCCCCCTCATAGGATGCCATACGCTGACATAAAAGGAAAAAAATGTAACAAAGAATGTCTCTAGACAATAATATATATCTTTTTCATCCTATTATGGGAAATATATGTTGTTCATAATGTGTTAAGATCTTTTATTTTTTCATTTAATTTAAAAATGCTCTAATTAATAGAGATTAAAGAGAGATGATTGGCTTGTAAATGATTGTTTGTGAAATATTTAATTTAGTTCACTAAATTATCAACCAAACTTGTTTGTTTAGCCATAACCGATAGACTAGGATCCTCTTCATTAATGGAGATGCAAGTGTATGCTTTTATATTGTTTTCAATGACAAAAGTATAATTTCATTGTCATCAAAAGAATATATATGTCATTGAAAATTATATTTCTCTTTGGTTTTTGAAGTAAATGTCTCTCCATTAATGAGATGATTCTAACTCTAACGGATAAGGGTCAAAGTGGGTCATAATATACAAGCTCAAAGCTCATGTGGGCCAGGGCTATCCATGGGCCAACTCATTTTAACAGCTTGATATTAAGAAGCTAGTGAATAATTTATATTTTTTGTATTAGTAGATTAATATTATATATATAATAATTATATTAATTAATTTTATTTATGATGACTAGATTGAGAATTTTTTATCTTTGTTGAATGAAAAATGATATTGACTACTTTTTTTGTGATGATGGAAATTGTTAGCATGTTGTGAATTATTTATGTAGTTTGTGATTCGTGAATACAAAACTGTATTTTTTTTTTTATTTGTTCTAGTATGAAAATGTTTACTAATCATAAATATTAATAAAGGCAAGAAAAAAGTAGGGAAATTTTGATAAAGGAAAAATCAGTCAAACTTTAAATGAGCTACACGATTTAATATCAAAGACTTGGTTTTTTAAATAAGGCATGACCTTTAGATTTGGCCTCAACCTAAAACAATATTATTAAAATAATAATATATCTTCCTAAAAAATTAATATACAAATCATTCTACAAAAAAAGTGATCTGTTGCTTGTAAGCCAGGCATCAATAAGTAAAATACACACAATTTGTAGAATAATAAATTAATTTTCTAAAAATAATGTTTTTATGGGATAAAAGATGTTTCCTACAAATATACGTTACTACATACATAATACATAAATTGCATTTTTTTGCATTTTTATGTCTTTTAATTGAAGGGGCTAAGCAACTGAAAACAAAACACAAAAGGACATGACTCCCTTTGTCAAAGAGGGTAGGTGTACAATAAGTTAAAATGTGAATGGGAAAAAACTTTTATATTAACGGTGCAATCATACCAACACTAATGCATTGAATCTCATCAGAACTTCATAGTTAGGTATGTTTGAACGAGAATAGTATTAAAATAGGTGACATTTTGGGAAGTTTTTGTGTTGCACATCTTTTAAAATATACTGAAAAAAATAAATTGAGTGCCCAAATTTTCCAAATGCATCAGCTACATTTTTGCTTACACTGAAAACATGCAATCAAGTTGTTTTTTTTTGTTTGTTTTTATGAGATTATACAAATTAAACCAAAAATAATAAAGATTTTCTAGAGCAATAATGCTTCTACCATTTATTGTTTGGCATCTATATCATCTAAAATATTACTAAACAGAAAGGTAATTAATGATGATCCACATAGCTAAAGTGATACTAACATTTTTCTCCTACATACATGATTTGTAGATGTATTTGATCAATATTATTTCCCTTCTATTATCATATCTTCTAGATTCTTTTTACATGTTTCTTCTTGTGTTGGGGTTACTCCAGGAACTAGTGGCACATGTTAGTTCCCATTGGATTGAACAAAGATTTTTAAAAAATGAATAATAGATAATTCTATTTATATGTTCACTTGTTTCATAATTGAAGCTTTTCGTTTTTAATTGAATATAGGTTTGTTTCCATGGAGACTAATATTCCTAATTATTTTGTTTCATTTGAAATATTTAGAATTAAATGTTTTATTAGTTCACAAAATTTATGATAAAATATTATAATGTGTTCAATTCATATAATCAATCTCATATTGCTAGGTTTAGGGATGACAAATAAGCGGGTACGAGTAGTGGTTACCTGTACTCATACACACATTGTTTGCGGATATCCATGTGAGTAGCGGGTATATGCGAATACTTAATGAATTTTTTATTTTAATTTTATATTTATATATTTTTTATATTCAAAATATAAAAATAATTATTGCATGAATAATAATATAAGATATATTTATGATTATAGTCCAACCACTAAAATTTATTATGAAATAATAACAGAATAGATAATATATAATCTTAAAATACTAATAAAAAGTATGATATATAAAATATTAAACTAAAAATAAATTTATACATATGTGGGTACTCAACGTAAGTATGATCATATCTATTATCATTCATAAGTTATTATTGCGAGTATTCAATATGAGTATTTTTATAGATACTCATAGTTAAGGTATTTTTAACATTGTTGTATTAAAAAATTTATGAGTTCAATTTACTAAATATAATAAAGGCAATAAAATCAAGATAAGATTCGAAGTTGATGTGCATGATTATGAACATGTGGGATAACGTGAGAATTCATATAACACATCTTGGAATATCTCAATCTCTTTCCTTCTTTTCTCCATATATATATATATATATACATATATATTCATGAAGGTCACCACTGTTATCTACATAGGTGTTCACACAAAAATGTTAGAGAGAGAGAGAGCACAATAGATTTTTCATTTTTGGCTTGGAATTCCGAGCCTATGGATCTTCTAATGCACTTTTCCACCTTTATTTTCTAAGAAAAATAATGTTCCCATATCTTAGACCTTACATTTGCCAATGAATTTTTATTTGGTTTCGCAATCATAATGATTATTGAGTTGTGTTTATCAAGATAATGAATCAATGCAAAACAAATTGTGGTTGACGTTAGTTCGTTTACTGTTAATTATATGATCATGATGAGATTTTATTGACTATCAAAACTTATACATTGTGCTCTTGCGATTACAAACACACATTTAAAACTTGTTGTTTACATATTGTTGTATCAAAATTAAGAGAAAAATATGTAAGAGTGAATGAGTTTTATACACTGTTATTGTATCATCCACCATTAATATTTAATCATCATTGACTCTTCAAAAAATTTCAAATGAATGGTGAATAATGTAATGATTGTGCATAAATCTTTACGCTAACAAGACATAAATATTACACTCCAAAATTAAAGCATAGGTGCCCAAAATGGTAAGTTCAAGGGTGGTGAAATGATCAATTTATTGTGTTAATCAATGTGATGAAACTTATTTTTCTAGATTCCTAGAGTCTCCTAAACACTCGTTTTCCTTTGTTCTCTTATTCTTTTTCTAATTAGGCGAGATATCTTTTAAATTGTCTATAACTTTGTTAATTATTGAGATTTTATGGATAGAAGTATCACTTGTTATATTAATTTATTTATCTCTTGCTAAATAAAGTTTTCATTGCTGATAAAAAAATCAATCTGAGTAAGATTACATATCGAGAAGATATAGATAAGTGTAAAACATATAAGTGAAGGGATCAATAAAACTATTACCTTAGGATTCTATTAAAACTCTTTCTAATGGTATATGGTGGTAAGATGTCATGTTTTGTTAAAGTATAAGAGAAGAGTGTTTGCGACTCAATTGCCTTATTGATTAGGCTCTTGATAATATTGTCATAACAATAAAATAGCTTCCACTTAGAGAGGTGCATGCTGTGATGTGAATGACATACGCTTAAGATGAAGATTATTACAAATACAAATGTGAGTAACATAAGTTCAATAGGTAAAGTAAAAGTAAAAAGTGAATAATATAATCCAATTAGAAAATAAGTAACAATATTTTTATAAATTTAAATTTAAAAACAAATTTGGTAACACTCCCCAAAATTAAGTACTTGTTTCATTGAGTACAATATAGTTGTTTATCATCTTAATTATAAACTTCCTTTAAGTGTACATATGGTTAAAGTTTAATATCAAAACTAATTAAATATGGGAGGAATAACTCATTATATAAAGAAAAGTATATTACCTTGACTCATATGAAATGATATCTTTTGGTACATAAGGACTAAAAAGAAGTTATCGTGAAAATCATTTCACTATGAAATGACTAATATAACAAATATTTAAATTATATCTAACAAAATAAAACATGGGATGTGATTCCTAATTCATTCCTAACCAATTTCATGCTTATTACTATTACAACAAACAAATATACTCCAACATAAGCCACTGACTTAGGGAGTGACCAACCATAGATGATTGAAGATGTGATTTTTATGTCTTTCTTGGTTTTGAAAGTGCTTTATTCCTTCTTGGTAAGACCTCCTAGGTCCTATAAAAAGTGAATCCAGACCCTAACAAATATTCCTTTCTTTCAACATGTCCAATCTCATTTTCAAATTTCGTGCATAAAAAGTGCCTTGTATTTCTTTTACATAGATAAAATACATATTTTCCCTAACAACATCTTTTGTGGTTAATTACTTTATGCTGGTTCAGGGAAGTTTCTAAGAGATTCAGCATCACCACCCTGCAGCCACCATTTTATATTTCAATTCCAATTTTCCCACTTTTTTCAGAGTAATTAATATTAAATATATCCCAATAATATATTCTGTTATATATTGATATATATTAGTTGTTCCCACATCTTTGATTAACAATGTTTTTTGTAGTAATAAAAAAATAGAAAAGCAAAGTGTAAGTTAATTAGTTTGATGCTTCAACTTACATCAAATAAAGTTTTAAATCTAGAAACCCACCATGCCACCACATTATATTCCGTGTGAAATGTTTTTGTATATAAAATAGCATCACATGAAGAAATTTAACTAATTAATTCAAGAAAAAGCACAAATAGATCCCACATGTATATTCTACTCCCTCTAGTATTTAATTACATCATTTTTTAGGATGGGGATTACATGTCTCCATTCATATACCACTTTTTATACCAAATAAATCAGAAGACTTCGTTCAATTAAAAATAAAAATAAAAAAATCAAAAATTAATATTTTAATATTATTTTGTGAAGTTTGATTGGTTAGGGACAGAAAAATTCTGGGACAGAAGATCCTTGTCTCATTTTTTTAGTTTATAAAACTCTCCTTTCTCCTAAGAAAAATTTATGGCACGTTTTTTATGTTATGAATGCATGCACATACGAATTTATTTTTTAACTTCAAATCTCATTAAAAATAGTGGAATAAAATCTCTTCGGTTGAAATAGTGAGTATATTTATTTGTGTGTGGCTTTTTTATCCCTAAAAATACGCATTTACACAAAGTAACCACTAACCACTGAAAATGACAATTTCATAGACAAGTTTTGGCTTTCAACACAATATAAGATCACCCTAATATTTAAAATTTGTGCCAATCTTTTGTTTTTCCCATTCAAACGAGATAGAGATTATGAGAGAAAGATAGAATGATTATGAAAAATATTACATAACTTTAAGTAAATTCCCCTCCACTTAACCCATTATTGTAAGTGAATTCCCCCTTTTTGGTAATGAAATATCTTCACATGACAATATCATATGAATAAGATTCCATTACTAAAAAGGGCAAAAAATTTGAATTGATTACATGCACTACATTTAATCTTTATCAATTATTAGTATAAATTTTTTTACTAAATTATTTAATCATTTTTATCCAAATATTTTATTTGGCTCCTCTAAAATGTACTTCAAAATCTAAAGTGCATGATTACGAGTTGATTTAAAATTTAATAATTGTAATCATTACTTTTAATTTTTTTATGTCTTAAATATGTTCATTTTTATAAAAATAATAATAATAAGTTCATCTCAATGCAAACTCTCTAAGGTATTTTCATTTCTTTCATCAATACTTCAAGAACCAGTTAACACTTCTTAAATAAATAGTAAAACAAAATATATACCATTAAGATCTATAGAAGTATAAAGTGCAGTGCATAGAAACAGTTAAATGACTCTTGACCTATTTGTAAATTTTGGATAACCCTGCCACTACATAACATAGTACTATAATAAGATAACAGTAAGATCTATAGAAGAATGAAATGTAGTGCACAGAAACAGTTGAGAAACATTGAAACTAAACAAAAATGAAACACTTTCACACATGATACCATAGCATGTTTATCAAAAGCATGCATCAACGTTTTAGAATGTTGAAAGCTACAAAAATCCACGCTGCATGGAAGAGTGTGTAAACAGAATCCAATCACTCCCACCAAGGTCTTCTTTCTATGGTCCAACTTACATATACTGACAAACCACTCTTTTGTCTTATTCAATCCGACCACGATCGGGGAGTAAGGATCACTTGTCCCAAAATAATATAAAATGTTATTATG